CGCGCTCCACAGTTCCAACGACCGTCAGGGGCGGTAAGAAGGAACTGAGGGGGCGCTGGGTCGGCTGGGGTATATATCCAGCGCCATAACGGCGCCACTCTAGGGGGCTCCACAGCCGACCCACCGGGTGTTGCTAGGGTAAAAATCTTCCGACGATCGTGCACGCGGCGCGCACACACCTAACTGGAATGGATATGAGCAAGCACTCGAAGAAGAATATGGCCTTACAGGATTGGGCGGCAGCAGCATATGCTGCCAAGACTATCGCTTTGGGAGAGACCTCTGCTGTCGGTTTTTAAATGAGCAAGCTTTTGCCACATGATCTGGTATTGCAATCATTTTTGTCACAGGTGGTCAATCTACTCTTGGATGCCGTACCAACTGTCTCCCTTACTAGACAGAAAAAGCTTTTTGCACTGTTTATAGATTTTCTAAAGGGTTTCTTGTGGAAAACTAAGCCGCCTAGATATTACACGGATGTTTGGGAGAGGGACTGGAGTTACAGACTTTCCATGGGGTAGCTGTCTAAAATTCACTCCGTGTTTCTGGCAGATTTGTTTGCTACTGTTGCCCTCCCACTCTGCCATGTTGACAGACCTAGTCTACATTTTCCTTTAGAAAATCCTGAAGTTCGGCAGTTTCCCCCTCAGTAAAATTGGGATAATGCTGACCACCTTTGTAAAGCGCTTTGAGCTCTACTGAAGGAAAGCGCCATATGAGCTATATATTCACTTTAACAGAATGTCATCTTATGAAAAACGGTTGCTATGGCTTCCGAATATTGGATATCCAGAAATTTAAAATATTTGGTGATATTGGCACCACAAATTACACACTAAACTAGGAAGGGGAATACTTACAAAACTGGAGAGCAATAGTCACTCTTTAAATCAAGACTAGAGAGCACCTTGGGATTATCTATCTGCAAAGGCAACCTTGTAAAAATGGGACCACTGTACCAGGAGGAAAATAATTGTAGGATCTCGTATGTATACTGCTAATTTGATTAAACTAATTGAAGTACAACTTGGCCTGATTTATGATGTTATAAAGAAGGATTTTGAAGGTGAGAAGTTTCAAATACACTGATTAACAGACCTCAGCAAATCTTAAAGGAAGTTATGTATAAAGTGTACGATGTGAGGGTGCAAAAATCTCCTACTTAATTGAAGCCAGATGGTACATGCTATGAGGTGAAAAAATGTAGAAATTTTAAAAATCTTTCCAGACAGAGCAATAGACTGTCTGTTTCCAGCAAAAGTTGATGTAGAATCCTAATAAGTCATAGCTTTGAGTATACTAAAGCAGTCAGGTGATTGGTGGCTAGAGTGTGAGTAACTCATAGTGGAGACTGCAGTAGGGTTAGAGCAGGGTGGGCAAACTTTTTGGCTCAAGGGCCACATCTGGGAATAGAAATTGTATGGTGGGGCATGAATGCTCATGAAATTGGTGTTGGGTTGCAGGAGGGAGTGAGGGCTCTGGTTGGGGGTGTGGGCTCCAGGGTGGAGCCAAAAATGAGTTTGAGGGGTGGGGTGGGGTGCAGGATCTGACTGAGGATGCAGCCTCTGGGGGGGGGGCAGGGGTGAGGGATTTGGGGTGCAGGAGGGTGCTCTGGGCTGGGATTGAGGGGTTTGGAGGGCAGGAGGAGGATCAGGGCTGAGGTAAGGGTTTGGGGCGCAGGGAGAGGCTCAGGAGTGCAGGCTCTGGGCAGTGCTTACCTCAAGCAGCTCCCAGGATCAGCGGCATGTCCCTTCTCCAGCTCCTAGGCAGAAGCACAGTAAGGCAGCTTTGCGTGCTGTCCCATCCACAGGCACAGTTCCTGCAGCTCCCATTAGCTGCGGTTCTTGAGGTGGGGGCAGCGTGCAGAGCGGAGCCCCCAGCTGCCCCTATGTGTTGGAGCCATAGGGGGGCTATGCTGCTGCTTCTGGGAGCTGCGTGGAGCTGCCCCTGCTCCCTGGCTAGAGCGCTGGAGCAGGGCAAGCCCCAGACCCTGCTCCCCAGCGGGAGCTCGAGAGCCAGATTAAAATGGCTGATGGGCCTAAAATGGCCCATGGGCTGTAGTTTGCCCACCCCTGGGTTAGAGTATTAATGTAACCAGTTCAACAATTAACTTGCATGTTACAGAAATATAAATTGTTTTTCTCATGGCTTTTCAAAATTGGGTATTTCTGCTTTGCGATGGCTGGAATGAATATATGAGCATGGAGAGACAAAGGGGGTGAGGTAATGTCTTTTATTGGACCAACTGGTGAAAGAGACAAGCTTTCAAGCTTACACAGTGGTTTTCTTTAGGTCCAGTAGAAAAAGATTACCTAACACACACACACACGCCCCTCCCCAAGTCTGTCAAATATCTGGGGATTGCTTCTGTTGCCTGTGGCCAGTGGAGTTGGGGAGCTGACCCATGGCAGGCAGAGACAAGGCTTGCTCACACTAAGGGCAGTTGGTAGCAAGGTGCCTCACTGCCCTGGGTACCCAGCATAGCATGAACGTAGAATATTCACAATTATCTGGGGGTTATAGTTGATCACAAGCTAAATATGAGTCAACAGTGTAACGCTGTTGCAAAAAATCAAACATAATTCTGGGATGTATTAGCAGGAGTATTGTAAGCAAGACACGAGAAGTAATTCTTCCACTCTACTCTGCGCTGATTAGGCCTCAACTGGAGTACTGTGTCCAGTTTGGGGCACCATATTTCAGATGTAGACAAATTGGAGAAAGTCCAGAAAGTTCAGAGAAGAGCAACAAAAATGATTAAAGGTCTAGAAAACATGACCTATGAGGGAAGATTGAAAAAACTGGGTTTGTTTAGTCTGGAGAAGAGAAGACTGAGAGGGGACATGACAGTTTCCAAGTACATAAAAGGTTGTTACAAGGAGGAGGGAGGAAAAATTGTTCTCCTTAACCTCTGAGGATAGGACAAGAAACAATGGCCTCAAATTGATGGAAGGGTGGTTTAGGTTGAACATGAGGAAAAACTTCCTAACTGTCAGAGTGGTTAAGCACTGAAATAAATTGCTTAGGGAGGTTGTGGGATCTCCATCATTGGGGATTTTTAAGAGCAGGTTGGACAAACACCTGTCAGGAATGGTCTAGATAATACTTAGTCCTGCCTTGAGTGCAGGGGACTAGACTAGATGACCTCTTGAGGTCCCTTCCACTTCTATGATTAGTGCAGATTTGCATTCTGCACAGATTTACATTTCTACACTTCCATTTTAGTGAGTGGTATGTGTTTTGTTTGTTTATTAAGTGCTCTTTGGTGCTGATTTGGTAATGTTGGACACCTACATTCTCCATATATTCAGAGTAAGTACTAGCTCTCTCACAAATCTTTCCAGCAATCTGCCATTCTTCTGTTTTGGAGGAATCCTCTCTAATCATGAGAGGAGAGTTCAGTCCCTGGCTTATTCAGTCCTTAAACTCTCTGCCAACACAGTTGTCAGTTAATGTCATTAGTGGTGGTGATTTTTGTGTGATGGACAACTTCACACTAGGACCTGGACTAAGATTATCAACTCATTTCACATAGGCCACCCAGTCTTCATCCTAAGGTAATAAATTTCCATCACCATTAACCTGGGATTGATTCAAATTTACAACCTACAGATGAAAGTCCCTTTATTCCACATCCAATCCCATAAAACATGTAATGTCATTCACATTAATCTAGCCTACCTTTTACCTTTCCTAATGACCATGTTTAAACTACATCCCTTGAAAGGGTAAATTGCTCTGGTTTCTAATATACTTCACTTTTTTCATTATTATATCATTGTGGTATCAGGCTACTGCATTTTGTATTGCCATCCTAAATCATATAATTTATGCCCCCTTGTATATTCTCTCATTGTTCTCTCTTGCTACAGAGGCCAGGGCAGGAGGCAGTGGCTTCAAACTGCAGCATAGAAGTTTTAGATTAAATCTCAGGAAAAACTTCCTAACTGTAAGAACAGTAGGACAAAAAGAACAGACTGCCTAGGGAGGTTGTGGACGTTCATTCGCTGGAGAATTTCAAAAAGAGGCTGGATATTCAACTGTCCTGGATGGTTGAGACACAACAAATTCTGCATCCTGGCAGGGGGGTTAGAAATTAATAAATGGATAGCTGAGAACAACATCTTGCATATTATCCATAAACAAGCAAAATTTATCTAATTGTTCATTATGAACAATTAATGTTGCTTTACTTAGATCAGAACCACACCTATTAAGTCCTTCATAGTTCAGTCATAGGACAATAGAATCTATATGAAACATATCATCATGAAAAATGGTATAATTTGAGTTATCACTGTCAGAGACAGATACTTCTCAGTCTTGTTTCCTGCACACCATTTTCTTAACTTGATTCTTATTAGTGTTGTTATAGTCAAGCCTAGGAACCCTAGTCATGGACCCGGACCCTACGGTACTAGCTGCTGTACAAACACAGAACAGAGTAAATAGCCCTTCTTTAATTTCCTCCTTTTGTTACCAAATATTCTGTCCTGAAACTAAATTGTCTTGAGTCCCTTTTGGAACCAAACTACTTGTTTCCAAAGAACAATAGGCTAACAGAGCACAAGTCCTGGAGGCTGGCTGGTGTTTCAGTAGTAGGCTCTCAGATGTGGAACTCCTTGCTGTCCAAGATCAGGGTGAGACACAGCTATGCCAGCGTCAGGGAGGTGATTTACTGTAAAATGCATGTTTCTTACTGCAGATCTTCCCTCAGAATGATGAGCAACTGGAATCAAGAATGACCCACTTAAGAAAGCAGTGTAAGATGTGGATGATTTGATCCTCCTAGTGGATTGATGTACCTTAGATACCCGAGGTAGACATATTGAAGATACACATGGATGGAATATACTGAATACCCATCTTTCATAAACTTGAAACTTCATGAATTGTACACAGTCTGGTTCAAAATTCTGCATAATGAATTAAAGTGTAAAACATTTGATCTGTAAGCAAATATTTTATTAATATTCGTAATTGAATTTTATCCTGAATTTCCCAGACTGATCCTTAAATATGTTTAATGAGAACGACATGAATAGTATCTTGTAATGAGCTGTCTATACAACTTCAAAAAGGATACTTCCCAATTCTAATTATATTAATAATTCTAAAGCATCCTGCAGACATTGTCTGTCAGTACACTATACAACAAATTTAAAACAACTACCAGATTAAACAAACACCCTCTAAAAGTAATTCCCTTCAATTTATTTTATTTGAATATTAAACAGCAAAAAAAAGGGAAAGAAAGCATGGGATGTAATAAATATGAAATCACATATGATTTATACTAAAACATGCAAAAATAAAGTTAAGGTGTTTTCTTAAAAGAGAGCCAGACAGGAGTCACTGGGGAACAAATTCAGCACTCTGCCTGCATAAGTGTGAAACGGTTCCTATCTTGATATGAAGGACTCTTCCTGTGCAACATCTGGCTATTGATATGACAACATACCCATATTTTTTCACCTAACCTGCCTTTGTTTTTACAATAATAATCATACATATTTCTAAGGCACCCACCCTCTAATCCCATAGTACCTAGATACCAAGAACACTTAGATTCCTAGTCAGCTGGGTGCAGCTCAATTTTTTTTTCCAGTCAGTACCTTGATTAAACATTTCACATGAGTGTGAGAAATTATCTGAGGTCATCTTTCTGGGTACTCTGGAAATAATTGGTTTTAGAACGAAAAATATTTAGTAAACCATTCCTGATGCCGAGGGTCTTGTTTCTGATCATCTTTGGTTATGGGTGCTTCATTGCCTTGTGTCCTGTGCAAAGAGACAAATACTACCATTACTTGAGTGTTTATTAAAACTCAAATCTTTTTTGGGGGGAAGAACTACTTTGTTGCTCAAATTCTTCTGGAAATAACCAAAAATACTTGAACTACTAGACACCATGGAATGGATGGAGCTAGGCCCATGTGAGCTGGAAGAGGCCAGATGCAAGCCTCACCAGTATCACTTGTGCCATGTTGAATTTCAATTGCAAGCTCTTCCAGGCAGAGACAATGGTCCAGATCCTGCAGTGAGCTCTGTGTGCAGCATTTTGGAGCATCTGGACCTGTAGCTTTAAAAAAAAAAAAAAAAAAGGTACCTAGCACTGTCTTGGTGCTTGAAAAATGCTAACTACTAATTAATTCATCATTAAGTTTCTACAAAGTGCACATTTACCTTGTGGCGTGGTTACTGTCTGAGGACGGCGCTGACTGATAGCTGGCCCTGATGCAGCCAGCACTCTGGTCTAAGCTTGTTGATTTCGTTATTGGAGGGGCATTTCTCTTTGATCTCAAGTCACAGCTCAAAAAGTTCTTTGCGTAGGAGGCTAAATTCGGAACACTGACAACACGGCTTGGCACCTCGTTCAGTTTCTTCTGCTTTTATTGTGGGAACAGAAATGTATATTACGCACACATTCTTACACACGGATGGTACTATAAACACTACATATGCTCATTTCAAAACAGTATGGGCCAAATTCATCCCTGGGCCAATCCCATGGATTTCAGTGATTACTGCGGGTAATCTGGGTGTCTCATATTGGGCACCCAAAAATGGAGGCTCCCAAAATTATTAGCTACTTTTGAAAATTCTGGCTATAACATTAAAATTAAAACCTCTCCTGTAGGCTCAGTTAGAACAGGCTGCAGAGGCCCAGGGATCAGTGGTGTTCACCCCAAGCAGTTGGGTCACTTGATTTTAAAATTGCTAGAGTGCTACAACCCTGCTAGCTTCACATAGATCCCCAGATCTGTTGACACTAGTTCTGGCGGTGGGAGTGGGGGTGTCTAAGTGGCTTTGACAACAAGTACACTCACTGCTTGACATTGACATACACTTGTTTTCCACTACAGCCACTGGTGGCAATCCTTCCGTATTGTCTATACTGCCGCACATGTGCAGTCACTCCTGCTCTAGAGCTACAGTAGCTGCCATACAGACCCTTGGATTGAACAGCATGTTGAGTTAGTGTCCTTAGCCACTGGGCCTCCCTTTCTCCTCCACCAACATGCCTCCTTTTCCAGCATGCCAGTAGAGTGGGTACTGTATGGAAGAGTTGGTGAAGGTTGAGCAGGGAAGAGTAGATTCTGCACAGCTGGTGTAGCCATTGATTCAGTGGCTAACCTACTTGTTCACTCTAAGTGGGGTAAAGTGGCCAGTTCTTAGGGATATGCAAGAAATAGCCCTTATCCCAGCACACGATCTGGCTCTTATTTCTAAGCAGACTGTCTCCATCTACATGAATACACTTATTTTGAATTTACATTATCTTCATCACCTGGTTCTAGGTTAGCTTACATTATGGCATATTACACTTCTACTGAAAAGCAGCAGTTTAGTGGCAGAAATATTAGGAATGAACTAGCTGAAGTACTGAAGAATAAAAATTAATCTCTATCCATCTACTTATTGTACGTTCCTCCCCCGGGAATCTGAGCACCTGTAAGTGGTCAAATACTAACAACACAACATGATTTGCTATTGTACACCTCTACCCCGATATAACGCTGTCCTCGGGAGCCAAAAAATTCTTACCGCGTTATAGGTGAAACCGCGTTATATTGAACTTGCTTTGATCCGCCGGAGTACGCAGTCCCGCCACCCTGGAGCGCTGCTTTACCGCGTTATATCCGAATTCGTGTTATATCGGGTCACGTTATATCGGGGTAGAGGTGTACTTGAACTGTTTGTCTTACCTTCATGGAAGGAGTTAAGCATCCAGGATTAGGGTTGAAGGAAAAGGATCTATTCCGATGAGATTCAGTGCTGGGTAAAAGCAAATGTTGAAATTTTCTTCCCTCCTGAAGGGAAATAAAACCATGTTCAGAATGGCCCAGAGCAGTAAGCGAGCAAGACCCTGACGAGTTGTGTGAAATGACTAGCAGATGGGGCCTTTCAGTATAATCTGAAATTGTTAATTATGAACTGGACCTAAGCCCTGGGCCTTGGCAATTGAAAAGACTATTAAAAGATGGAAAGGCTTTCTGCAATACTTTTAAGCAGATTCACTGTCACATGTTAACAGCATGGGGGTTTACATTTAGGAAGTGGAATGTTTTCCCATCTCATGTTACTTCTAATGAATGTCTCAGTCTTGGCGAGTCAAATAAGTGGCCTCATTCTGCTGGAAAGCTGCTATGGAAAGGGGCAGGAGTGTACTTAGAATAATGTATGGGCCTGACACCCTAGGTTTATCATTAATACTCTGCTGGTATACCAGTTGGATTAATTAAGAGCTTGATCCTGTACCATAGCAGTCAATGGAAGTTTTGCCATTGACTTCAGTGACAGCACACACATTATACAATATATGTCCACTAAGGAATGCTCACCGTCAGTTGTCTGATAATTTCTTCTCTCTCACTTAATTTATTTTGTAAGCAGCCTATAAGGTGCATATCTTCTGGCCTGGACTCTCGCTTTCTCCGTTTCTCTTCTAATTCTTTAAGTCTGTGTCAAGTAAAAAATGCAAAACACTTTCATCCAGATCAGGAAACAACCTCTTTCAAGGCCTAAGAGTTTAGACCAGGTTTCTTTCTCTTTGACCCATCATAAACCCCGTCCCTGAAATCCAGGAAAATATTCAGGGCTCCCCTGACAAAACTGTATTTTTTTTAAAAGAGGGATGTGGTGAAGAAAGCACACATTAAACACGAATGTGCCCCCCCTCCGCTCCTGGGCAAAGTTCAGCTGAAGTCAACCGTGTACACTAGGTGTAGTATCCAGCTCATGTTGTCAACAGGACTCTGCACAGGAACGAACAGGGGACTGTGGTAGCAGGATTTGGGCCTAAATTCATATAAGCTACAAGTGGTGATAGTGAGCAATGTACTGTAGAGAATGTATTTTATTTATTTTTTTGTTTTAGCTGGAAATTGTCAAGAGAAAGGAAGCCTCTAGCCTCCCCAGCTGGAGGTGGGTACCTCAGCACTCAGATAAAACAATCAATGGCTTGGACTGCCCCTCTCCCAGTGCCATGCTACCACAGCTGTGATTGGTGGTAGGGTGATCAGATGTCCCGATTTTATAGGGAAGTCCCGATTTTTGGATCTTTTTCTTATATAGGCTCCTATGAACCCCCACCCCCGTCCTGATTTTTCACATTTGCTGTTTGGTGATCCTAACTGGTGGAGGCACTTGATTTAAAAGGGAGAGGGCTGGGAGCAGAGGGTTCTTTGCGCGGGGCCCTGAGCTTTGGAACCAATTCTTCACATTGTCTGAAACAGCCCAGAGCTGCTGACCTTCAGGGCATGGTGAAAGGTGCCTTGCTTTATTCAGGCTTTAGCAGAGGGAGCGGTGTGATGGAGTCAGTTTGTGTCTGGGGATGGGGAGTTTTGTTGGGGATTGAGTTTCATTGGCTGTTGTGGGTTTAAGTAATAGTTATTTTGTTTGTTCCTGATGTCAGGAGTGTCTGTTGTTTCAGAGGTGCCTTTTTAACATTTATAAATCAAAATTGGTAATAATAATAATGATCTAATAACCACTTTGCAGTTACAGAGCACCTTCCTCTAAAGAGCTCAAAGCACTTTACCAAGGGATATTTCCCGTATTTGTGAAATGGGAAAACTGAGGCACAGAATGTGAGCACCTTGACCCAGAGCCAGGAACAGAATCCAGGTCTCCTGACTCCTAGTCCCTGAATCTAACCTAGAACTAATCTAGCTTCAGCAACTACATGGTTTATCCTCTGTCATTCCCGCTTTGGTCCCTATCCTAAAAATACTTACACACATGCTTAACTTTACTCATGTATGTAGTTCCCTTGAAGTTAAGCATGTGTGTAAGTGTTTGCAGGATCAGGGCCTATGGGATCATCCCATGATGTAAATTATTTTAAGTTAGTAAGACTGATGAGATGCATAAGTGCAATAGTGCATGGTGTAATTTACTGGTACTGATATTATGTTTGTATAGATTTGCACAGTCAGGCATATCTATGCTTCATTAGAGTATATTTGTGCCTTGTTTGAGTGCCTGGGAAATAGTTCTACAATACACTGTTATTCAACACTTAAAATATTCCACCCATATGTATTGAAAATAATAATTAACAATAATTAATACTTATCACTGATATAGTGAAACATCCTTACTGCAGCTGTGTCTTATTGAAATCACTTACTCGGTTTCTAGGGAGACAATCTTTGCTTGGAGATGGGCCTGAGCACTGCTGAAATCAGCTATCATGTTCTGGATTTCCTTACGATGCTCTTGTTTCAAGATGTCCAGTTCTTTTTGGTGCTTGACTTTGAGGTCTTCTTCCAGTAGCCTGTCAAAATGGTGTTAAAAATCATGTAAGTCTCAAGTGTTTTAACATTCATTAGTGAGTTACTGATGGGTAAAGCTCTGATTTTTTTAGGCTCGGGATGGGGTTAACACAGCATGGTTCATGCGCAGCACCCACTGATGGGGCTCCTGTGGAGTTCAGCCAAGGATAAAAGATATCAGAAATATTTAGGATATTGAGGTGAAATATATGAATTAATGTTATAACACAGGGCCTACGGGCCTCAGGCTTCTAAAATATTAAGCTTAGTCAAATTAGGCCTTAGGATAAATTATGCTAAATTATCTTTATAAATATGCTGATGTTTTGAAAATAACTGCTGACTTTGGATAATAACAGATCAGAAGACATCACAAGATGATTGTTGGCAGCTGGGATGAAATGTTAAGAGACTTCCTTAAGGTAATCACCTGTTACTATGGTGATAAAGTGACAAATGTTAATGAGTATAAAGTGAACTAATGAATTAGCCTATGAAAAACAGAACACTCCAATAGAGTGGAGTATGGAAGTTCAAATAAAGAAAAGGGGGAGAAACCTTCATAAATGTGTGAACCCCAGTGGGCGTCAGTGTAACACTTTACAAAAGTTGTATGCTGGCCTTCGTACCTTGGGGGAGACACCAGATTCACAACTACTGGTGGTGAGGATGATGACTAACATTTCTTGTTTTTTGCAAGGCACAGTGTGGGTAATGCAAATATTATGTGTTCCGTATGGCCTCTCTCTCCTTTACCAGATTGCAGGGTGTGTGTTGCTGTTTACTTTTATTAACCAACCAGTTATTACAGAAAGAGCACTGTATAGACAATGTGGTGCACCAGGGGGTCCCTCTTCTATTGAAAACCTCTCTACTGTAGTCGATCTTGGGGCTGAACTCTCACAGATTACAGCAGGTGTAAACCCTCTCCTTGGGTTGGGTAATTAGTTAAAGGAACCCGTAACTATAGATAAGACTACAAGAGCTTCCACTGGAATTTAAAGCTGGACCCCACTGCATGACTCTCCTGGGAATGAGGATGGCAAGCTGCTCTGAGAAGAGGCAAATGATGCTTTGGGTTACAGGATCCGAGCCTCGTCTAAGTTGCATTTGTGTTCAAAGGGGTCCTGGCCCACATGATGCTGTTGGCATTCTGGCTGTAATTGGCTTGAAGCACCAGAGAAACACCAAGGACAACGGTCAATCTTGAGGTTGAAAGTGACAGTAATATATTATGTGAATTCCCTGTTAACAGTATTTATGTTTAGTTGTTTGAGGGATCTGGGAATTTAAGCTGAAGCTCTTTGATACTGCATTTAATTTGACCATGGTACCGCATGAGAAATACTTTACACTTGGTTTGACATCAAGATTATGGGACTAATACTATAAATGTCACTAATGCTGTAAATGATCCCGTTGAGCATGACAGACTTTCATGTTTATCTGATCCTCTCACACACAGCCCCTCACTTGGTGACAACTGTGAACTAAAAAATTCAGCCCATTTTTTACAAGTGTGGCCCATGAGAACTTATGTACATATACATACACACACTAACATTTTTATGATACCCTGGAAATCTTATTTCATAACCCCAGTTCTAGGAGAATTTGCTCTGCTGCTTAGCAATTAAAACTTTCAATAACAGCAGTTATAATAACCTGATGTATACAAATCTCTCTCCTCTTTGTGGTGGGCCTGTTCTGTGCTTCCACCCCCAACTTATGCGAGACATGACTGCAGGCTACAATAGTCATCAGTCAGAGCTTCCAACTGAAAAACAACTTAAAGAAAAAAAGAAGGGAGAGTCAATGCCCTGAAAGGAACAGTATCAAATTTACATGCACATCTGACACCTTAAATTTTAAAATATTATTACTATCCTTCCCAAACAAGGGCTTCAGATCCCAGCTCCTCCAATGTGTGATCTGCAAAAAGAAAATCCAGGATGCCTGTGATTGCTGGCACATGCATTGTACCGCATGCCATGCTACCAATTGCTTGTCTGATCCATTCTATGAGTTAGCAAGAGGTTGAAATTAAATAACTGGTATTATGACCAGCAATGACCATTTTGGTCATCCACTTTTACTCCTTGCATTCTGCTACTGTAATGAGGCCACTTGAACTATTTCCCTTATCCTAATACCCAGATACTTTCTCTGTTGATAATTTTTACACCTCAAACATTTCCCCTAGTGTCTATCCTGCATTTCTCCCTTTTTCGCCTCAGGTCATTGTTCCTTTTTCCTATCATCTTATCAGATTGTGAAGAATTATTTCCTTCATGAACACAGGTTCCAAATACCTCCAAGGTAACTGGAAGCGCTGTTGAAATTAGACTCTGTGGTTTGCATTTCTTTCTGTTGATCTTGTTGCAAAGTCTCCAGTTCTTTTTAATTCTTGACTAAGTTTAAAGTCACCTTCAAGTAACTTCCAAAATGGTATAAGAAGAGGATTCATTCCCATTCATTAATTAGTTACTGACTGGTAAAAGCCAACAGAGTTACTCAGGCACTCCTGAAGGTAATGAGTTTCTCAATATGTTCCCTGAGGTCTCTTTCTAGACTATCCTAGTCAGATTTTTAAAGGGCCTGTCAGGTGGCTGGTGCCCAACTGTCATACAAATTGAGTAATTATGGACAAGCATTCTATACCAGTGGAGAAGCTTTCTGAAAATGTGACTCTAGATCCCTCAATCTCTCCTCATTTTCATTACAACACTAGCAATGCTGAGTAATGCTCAGGTAGTTCCCTTCCTCCAAAGATCCCAAAGCATTCAAAACACTTTACAAACTGTAGTAAGAAGAGGCCCTGAGATATAAACCTTGGTATTAGAGGCCCGGTATGAGGCCTAAGATCTGAACTAAAGTAATGGTCAAGACTTTGCTAACATAAAGCAAAGTTAAGCTGTGAGCCAGAGGCAGGCCCTGCTCACAGAAGCTGGCAAGGAAAGGGCTGATGCTGCAAAAAGAGACATACCTAAAAGGTACTGGACACCAGATATCAGAACATTTGCATACTTGTACACTCCACACAGATAACAAGGAACAAGCTGACCCATCCCAATGACAGAGCCAAAAGGGGAATATGATGGATAGAGTTGTTTTGTTCGAACCAACATGTACAAGGTGAGAGGCGGCACCTTGCTACGTAGTGGGGTTGTACCTTGCTACGTAGAGAGGTTGCACCTCAATACGTCAGGAGCGATGTGTAACTTGTTTGTACCTGTGTATAAGAATGCACCCCTGAGTGGATGTCTTTGTCCAGCCTAGGGGGCAGTGGAGAGTCCCGCCACTGACTGAGCTAAGTCCAGTGCCAGGGGGCACATATTCGTAGTATGTCCTGCAGAGTAAAGTCTAGAGGGAACTATTACTGTGCTTCATTTGACAATAAACCTGGCCCGGGTACCTTCGTACCTTACTAGAGTCTGTGGTCATTGGGGGTTCTCTCGGGGTCTGCTGTGCCAGCGATCTGCAGAGCCGGGGCAGCACACAGAGGGAACACACGCACGCAGCGTGTGCAACATTGAACAGAACAGAGCACCACACCGGGAGCATCTGACAACACAAACTATGAGCCAAAACACGATGGCTGCACCAGCCCAGGGAAACCCTTATGCTCTAGAGCAGGAGATAGCCTGCAGCCCTTGTGTGCAAAGGGGGTGAGACTCCAAGCACTGCAGCAGTATCCATTGCCCCAGTGGGACACCTCTGGGCTATGATCCTGTGCCCTATTGCCCCTGCACACTAGCTTATGGCTATGTTTAGGGAGAACACACTACACATTTTCCAATCATGCAGCGTTGCCATCTTCACCAGTGAGTGTGCTCCTCCCTCTGCCCAGGAGGCATATTGTCTGCTCCTGGCCTCTATAGACACAATGCCAATAGCTACTGCCACTTCCCCTCCCCAGTGCAGTCCTGGATCTCTCAGCCATAACTGAGCCCCACATATGCAGGGATCACTTCAAGTATCATTCAAAAGCAGTCCCTGGGATGTCTAAACACTTGGCTGGTTACTAGCTGAGAAGCAGAGATTGTTTTTCAACCCTGTGGGAAGCCCTTATTTTGGAAGGCTGATACTAGTTCTCAGTCAGACATTTAAAATGAATTTAGTGTTTAGGACATGGGGGAAGTTTTGGACTGGTCAACCTTTAGTTCCCTTCACTATAATATGAAAGTAAGTAGCGTTCCCTGGATCACTCCTGGGTGGCTACAAAGGATGCATTTCTATGTCATGTATTTAGATGGATGGAGCAGTAAACATCAATATTTTCAATGCAGCCGGGAAGGGGAATGCTGGCTGCACTGTTAGGAACTGCAAAAAGTGAAGACTGCTTTTGAAAAGCTCCAAGCCTAAAATATAATTCTCTTTAGGAAGGATAAATTCAGATCTCTCACAGCATTTGGAGGAATATTGATGTTAGAAATATGTTGACACATCTATGAGGCACCTGTGACGGGCAAGAATATAAGGCAGACCTGTGTTGCTTCTCCTTGTCCTGAAGCTGTGTAGACTTTTGCTTCTGTAAGTCCATCTCTGGACTGAGCAGCTCCATTGTGTCCTTTAGAAGCGAATTCTCTTTCTTGAGCCCAGCAATCTCATTCTGACATTTCTCTAGTTCCTCATTAAGAAATGTAATCTGGTTTTGGTTACTTCCTTCCTAAGAAAAAGGCCAAAATTAGCTATTTTTTATCTGCTAATTAAATATTCAGAGGTTCTCACAGGATTGCAACTGGTTATCATGATCGAGAGATTCAGTTGTGAATAAAACAACTCAAACACAAAGTTTATGATGTACAGCATGGTTTATGTAGTACAGGTGTATGGCAGGGCAACGACTCACCGGCACAGCGCCTCCTGCTGGTTGTCTAGGGAATTAGCTCTTTTTCAGCTCTGGAACACCCTCTGACGGCTGATGCCTCACCTGCCGTTGGCCCTCCCGTGTCCCTCCCGGACCCCGGTGCCCTTGTATACTAGGGTTCTGCTCCCAGCAGTAACCCCTCTGTCTCTGGGTCTCCCTTTCCAGGGGAGCCCCCAACCCAGGGCCGGCGCAACCCATTAGGCGACCTAGGCGGTCGCCTAGCGCGCTACAATTTGGGGGGCGGTGACCGCGGCGGTATTTCGGCGGCGGGACCTTCCGCCACCTCTGTCGGGGGTGGCATTTCGGGGCGGGACCTTCCGCCATCTAGGGTGGCAGAAAAGCTGGCGGCGCTCCTGCCCCAACCCCCTATCCCCACCTTGCCTCAGTGGCTACTGCCAGTCACCATCTAGCCCCCCACTCACTGGGGCAGACGGCAGTCTGTAAACCACTCTTCATCGGCAAGGAGGGTTGGACCAGCTGCCTCTGCCTATTCCTGGGCTGCCCCTCCGCAGCCCCAGTACCTATTTGGCTCTTTTGGCAAGGCCTGCAGTCTGGGTTTTTTCCTGGCTGGAGCTCCCTCTGCCCTTCCCCAGCACTGCTCTACCTCAGGTACCCTTCTCAGCTCCCGGGCAGCCAGGTCCATCTCTCTCAGGAAGTGAGAGAGAGAGAGTGTGTTTCTGTCTTTGGCCCTCAGCCCTCTTATAGGGCCAGCCGTGGCCTGACTGGGGCGTGGCCTCATCTGTGGCTGCTTCCCCAGTCAGCCTTTCTTTTCCCCTCTGCAGCCCTCTCCATGGCTGTTTTAACCCCTCCGGGCAGGAGCGGGGTGGATTCCCCGCTACAAGGTGTTATCATGTCACTTTCAAATTTGGTTATTCAGGTCTGTTTTCTCTGTTCCTAGCAAACTGCCAGAAATAAACCACCACCACAACCACCACCAACATCAATGAAAGTTTAAGGATATGAGTCAAAACAACATTCAGAAGACATTTAAACAGATTTTAGGAATACTTTCAATGAACAAACTTCAGTGGTCAGGATCTTTTTAAAGGTGCCAGGAAGCTGCATGGCATGAAGAATCTATAAAGTAACTGAATATAATGAGAAATGAACTGGCTAATATATAATCAAGGGATTGGGTTCTAAAATATATATGTATTCATCTTATGTAGTACAGACACACACATCCCCCACTAAAATTTCACACATGCACACACAAGTCAAAGTTTTCAAACCTAGATGCTTAAAGTTAGGTTCCTAAATCTACAGTTAGATACCTAACAATAAACATCAATAATTGTCCTAAATTTTAGAGGTGCTGAGCACCTGCAGCAGTCATTAAAATCAATG